GAGAATGAATTCACGCATTTCCTGGCATGATGTAAATTTATCAGCTTAAAATAGTTTTTCAATTACTCCCATAAATAAACGTTAACATCCATTGACAGTGCTGTTGCTTACTAGTATTATAGAAACATTAGAGATAAGGATCAGTTTGATTGAAGCAGAAAAGTGAACCTGGTCTCCATGCTTCTTAAAGTCTGTTGTACCTTCTTGCCACAAGCCTGAAGTTGAATCACTATTAAATCCTTCCTTGAGATCCTGCCACTGAACCAGACAGGTTCAGAGGCAAAATGCTGTTTCTACCTTCTCTAGGAACTTTCTGCCTCAGTTAGCATCCCTGCCCCTGTGCCCTGCCCTGCATCACTCCCTGTATCTAGCCTTTCCTTTCCTCCTGCTCCTTTCTTCTTTGTCTTCTGATAGACTGAGGTCTTACCTGTACTCACAGTCCTGTTGCTCATGGCTTATCTCAGATGCTGCCAAGTTCTTACCTTTGGTTCCTTCCCCACTCACCCTCCTGCTCTCTGGCTTTCGTCCTCTCTATCAGAACTGCGAAATAAAGATCACCCTTCATGACTCAGAGTTTCATCAGCCTGATTCCCTAGAAATAGAGTCACTTCATGACTTTTGGAGGCCTGAGGCCCTTTTGTCTTTGGGGGCCTTTCTTCTGTTAAACCAATATTGAAAATTATATTTTATAACTCTTTTGGTATAAAGATAAGTGTGATCAAGTCTAAGTTGTATTCATTTTTAAAAATTCTTATTTTTAAATATACTAAACATTTTCATGTGATTTTTTTTTTTTTGAGACAGGGTCTTGTTCTGTTGACCAGTCTGGGCTAAAGCAGTCCTCTTACCTTGGCCTCCCAAAGTGTTGGGATTACAGGCATGAGCCACCTTCCCCGTCCTTTCATGGGCTTTTAAAGTATTGCGGCTCTAGGCACTGTGCCTATTGTACCTAATGGAAGCTAATGAAGAAGTCAGGACTGCTTTGAAGGGCTTGGTAAATTTGAGCAAAGCCTTCATAAAACCTTTTCTCTCTGGGAAAACGTACTACCTTTTTTTTTTTTAAGTTGTATTTCTGGACACGGTGGCTCATGCCTGTAATCCCAGCTCTTTGGGAAGCTGAGGCCCATGGATTGTCTGAGGTCAGGAGTTCGAGACCAGCCTGGCCAACATGGTGAAACTCTGTCTCTACTAAAAATACAAACATTAGCTAGGCATGGTGGCAGGCACCTGTAATTCCAGCTACTTGGCGGGCTGAGGCAGGAGAATCGCTTGAACCTGGGAAGTGGGGGTTGTAGTGAGCTGAGATCGCACTACTGCACTTCAGTTTGGGTAGTAATGCTTTGTCTCAAAAAAAATTTTTTTTTCGTATATTTTTGTTGGAAAAACAATATAATTACAAAGAAAATTTTAATGAAAAAAGAACCCTCTCATAATCCCATATCTTAACACAACTCTTCATTTTTATTTTTGTGATTTACTTCATTGTCCAGATGCAAAGCTATTTTACACAACTAACAGCTGTTGGGTTTGTGCAGTTTTGTATTCGGTTTTTTCCATTTAACATAATTTTATTGAAAACATTTTCCATATTTCCACAATAGTCTTCATAACTACCATGTTGACTTGTGATTGATTGACTCCCCCCTGCTGGTTTCTCAATTCTTTTCTGACTCTGCATATGTCTATTTCATTGCTTTCTTTTCTTTCTTCCATACATTTAGTCTGGGCCACCTGATCTTTCTGTGAATTCTCCCCTGGTAGTCTGATTGATGACTTCAACTACCAGCTTTATAGGGCTGAGGAAAATAGGCTTTGCAGATGGTTCTGCTGAATGGCACTTAGTGTTGAATGATCTGCGTACATGGCCTGCTCGTGCCCTTTCACAGCACATCGCATGCATTTGACAGTCAGGCAGGCCATGGCGCAGATCTTGTTAAATTTTGGGTTCTAGTAATGGGATCAGGTTGTCAGAGTCTGGAGGTACCTTAGGCATGATCCAGTTCAACTTCATGATTTTACGAGCAATGGAACAGAGGCTAAAGGAGGTTTAATAGACTTGATCACAGTCATGGAGCCTGTGAGTAAGAACTGGAAACTTGGTTCCTTAGCTCCCAAATCTTTATGCTCTTTCCTCACTAGCACGCTCTATGAATGTGATAAAGAAGAATCTCAGTTTATATTGCTGTACTATTAGAATGTGCCCTTCGATTACAGAATTTTATATATACATGTACTTTATATGTTATACAAAATAAGTAAAATAAAATATAGAAAATATATTTTATATTTAAATAAAACAATATTTTATATATTTACATATACATAATGTTTCATCTATTTTTTTTGAGATGGAGGCTTACTCTTTTGCCAGGCTGGAGTGCAGTGGCATGATCTCAGCTCACTGCAATCTCCATCTCCCGGATTCAAGTGATTCCCCTGCCTCAGCCTCCTGAGTGGCTGGGACTACAGGCACATGCCACCAGACCTAGCTAATTTTTTCTATTTTAGTAGAGACGGGGTTTCACCATGGACAGGATGGTCTTGATCTCCTGACCTCATGATCTGCCCACCTTGGCCTCCCAAATTGCTAGGATTACAGGCTTAAGCCACCATGCCCAGCCTATAAATATTATTTCCCAGATCACAACACTGCACTCTGGGAAATACATAATATTTATGTATTTAATTTATATATGCATATAAAAATTAAAATATATAAGAGATATATATATATTTTTTGAGAGACAGGGTCTCACTCTATTGCTCAGGCTGGAGTACAGTGGCACAATCATAGCTCACTGTAACTTCTGGGCTAAAGCAATTCTTCCCCCTCAGCTTCCTGAGTAGTTAGGATTACAGGGGTGCTCCATGATGCCTTGCTAAATTTTAAAAGAGTTTTTGTAGTCTATAAATGTAATTTACCACATAAACAGAACCAAAGACAAAAATCACACAATTATCTCAGTAGATGTAGAGAAGGCCTTCGACAAAATTCCATAGCCCTTTATGCTAAAAACTCTCAATAAACTAGGTATCGATGAAACATATCTCAAAATAATAAAAGCTCTTTATGACAAACCCATAGCTAATATCATATGGAATGGGCAAAAACTGGAAGCATTCCCTTTGAAATCTGGTGCTAGGCAAGGATGCCCTCTCTCACCACTCCTATTCGATATAGTATTGGAAGTTCTAGCCAGAGCAATCAGGCAAGAAAAAGAAATTAAGGGTATTCAGTTAGGAAAGGAGGATGTCAAATTGTCTTGATTTGCAGACGACATGATTGTATATTTAGAAGACCCCATCATCTCAGCCCGAAATCTCCTGAAACTTCAGCAAAGTCTCGGGATACAAAATCAATGTGCAGAAATCACAAGCATTCCTATACACCAATAACAGACTTAAAGAGAGCCAAATCAAGAATGAACTGCCATTCACAATTGCTACAAAGAGAATAAAATACCTAGGAATACAACTAACAAAGGATGTAAAGGACCTCTTCAAGGAGAACTATAAACCACTGCTCAAGGAAATAAGAGAGGACACAAACCGATAGAAAAACATTCCATGCTCATGGTTAGGAAGAATCAATATTGTGAAAATGGCCATACTGCCCAAAGTAATTTATAGATTCAATGCTATCCCCATCAAACTACCTATGACCCTCTTCACAGAACTGGAAAAAACCACCTTAAACTTCATATGGAAGCAAAAGAGAGCCCACATAGCCAAGTCAATTCTAAGCAAAAAGAACAAAGCTGGAGGCATCACACTACCTGACTTCAACCATTGTGGAAGACAGTGTGGCGATTCCTCAAGGATCTAGAAATAGAAATTCCATTTGACCCAGCAATCCCATTACTGGGTATATATCCAAAAGATTATAAATCATTCTACCCTAAAGACACATACACATGTATGTTCATTGTGGCACTGTTTACAATAGCAAAGACCTGGAATCAACCCAAATGCCCACGGATGATACACTGGACAGGGAAAATGTGGCACGTATACACCATGGAATACTATGCAGCCATAAAGAATAAAAAACTATGAGTTCGTGTCCTTTGTAGGCACATGGATGAATCTGGAAACCATCATTCTCAGCAAATTGACACAAGAACAGATAATCAAACACTGCATGTTCTCACTGATAGGTGGGTGTTGAACAATGAGAACACATGGACACAGGGAGGGGAGCATCACACACTGGGGTCTGTTGAGGGGGACTAGGGGAGGGATAGCAGTGGGTAGGGAGTGGAAGAGGGATAACATGGGGAGAAACGCCAGATGTAGGTGATGGGGATGGAGGCAGCAAACCACATTGTCATGTATATACCTATGCAACAATCCTGCATGTTCTTCACATGTACCCCAGAACCTAAAGTGCAATAAAATATATACAAACATAAAAAAATACAAATTAAAGAAAAGTTTTTGTAGAGATGGGCAACTCAATTTGTTGTCCAGACTGGTCTCAAACTCCTGGCCTCCAGCAATCCTCCCACCTTGGCCTCCCAAATTGCTGGGATTACAGGTGAGAGCCTGTAATATGGCACCTGGCCATGTTACGGGATTATATTCATAATTATTTTGTTCCCCATTTTATTGTTATATTACTGTAATGGAAAAAAGAAAAGCTTGACAGTACAATTTTTAGTAAAGTACATACTTTAAAGTTATCTGGTCCATTCTAGGAGAGGTGCTTAATTGACTCATGTTCATACAATGCTTAACTTCACTTTTTTTCTTTTTTTGAGATGGAGTCTCACTGTCCCCCAGGCTGGAGTGCAGTGGTGTGATCTTGGCTTACTGCAATCTCCGAGTCCCGGGTTCAAGCAACTCTCCTGCCTCAGCCACCTGAGTAGCTGGTATTATAGATCACGTGTTTTCTCAATGGTCACTTTTTCTCTGGTCAGTTGACTCACTTATTACTAAGGTATCTCAGCAGTCAAATTGATTGATCTTACCTGTTCAGCAGTCAAATTGATTGATCTTACCTGTTCAGAGACAAGGAGCACACCAGTCTTTGTCCCAAAATAACCAGGCCTACACTCGTACTAGCAACCTATAGACAATAAAAGCATTTATTAAGATGAGTCACTCTTTCCATTTTGGCTACCAATATAATTTCCAGTAGTTGAAACATTATAAGCCCAACTTTCTTTCTTAATCTAAAGACGTTGGAAGTCTAAAAAACACTGGAAATAAATACCTCTGAAAATCCTCTCTCGTAGTTAGGGAAACTACCTGCAAAGACTTTTTGTTTGATGATCCCCTTGGAATTATTTTTTTCTCCTAATCTCTCTTCTCTATGTATGTGTGTGTGTATGACATTTTTATTAGGTTCATTATATTTTCCCTTCTATTAGGTTGCATTTGGCCTTCATCTGCTCAAGTAAATACAAATTCTCCTTGATTGAATTATTTAGAAAAAAAAAAGAAATCCAGCTCTCTATGTAATGGAGGTGGTGGGAAGAGCGTGCATGAAGTAAAGATTGGAGAGAAATTTTACAATGATGTATGAGAGTGTGAGTTCTGGCCTCCCATCCTGCCAAACATACCCTTCCCTCAGCTCTGTCTTCACTGAGATAGGGTTTTACCCTGTTGCACAGACTGGAGTGCAGTGGTGCAATCATAGCTCACTGTAGCTTCAAACTCCTGGGTTCAAAGCAATCCTCCCACCTCAGCCTCCTGAGTAGCTAGGATGACAGATTAAATTAAATTTTTTTTTTTAAGAGATAAGGTCTTGCTATGTTGCCCAGGCTGGTCTCTAACTCCTGGCCTCAAGCAATCTTCCTGCTTTGGCCTCCCAAGACGTTGGGATTATAGGCATGAGCCATCGCCTCCATCCTCACTCTTAATCAATGTACCATCCCCACCCTCTTCAAACATTTAAAAGCTGCTGGCCAACAGTCCACAGCAGGAGCAGGACTGGCATCTACAGTCTGCTTCACTGTCTCCCCAGACTTACGAAGTCCATGGAAACGATGGTTTCAACTGTGGAGTTCTTGGTTTGGGTGAGCATCATGATGGAGGCAGGGATGTCCAGGGTGAAGTTGCCTGGTTGTAGATTGATCACGGGAGGCTCTGTGGCCATGATCCTCACCATGAAGGGCTGGGACAAGATGTAGATCTCTGCAATCTGCCCATATTCCGAAAAAGAAATAAAGACTGTGAGGCATGAGTTGATGAAGGGAAATCACAAGGTTAGAATGGCCTGTGGTGACTAAATCTTACATTGTGCAGTTAGAATAGAAAAGAAGTTCTTTTATAATAATAACAATTACACACAAAAATCAAACGATGATAACAGCTGGCAGTAACTGGACACAATTCTTGATACTACCCACTGTGCCAGGGGCTTAATGTATTATCACATTTAATCTTCACAAAATCCCTGTGAGGCAGATTCTATCGGCATCCCTGTTTTATAATGGAGAATGTGAGTCTTACAAAGGTTGACATTCTCAAGGTTCTAGGGGAATAAGTGGTAGAACTGGGAGTCAAATCTAGGTCTGGCCTGGGCCCAGTGGCTCATGCCTGTAATCCTAGCACTTTGGGAGGCTGAGACAGGTGGATCACTTAAGCCCAGTAGTTTGAGACCAGCCAGGGCAACATGGCAAAACCATGTCTCTACAAAAAAATAGAAAAATTAGCTGTGCATAGTGGCTCATGCCTGTAGTCCCTGCTACTCATGAGGCTGAGGTGGGAGAATCACTTGAGCTGGGGAGACGGATATTGCAGTGAGCCAAGATCATGCCACTGCACTTCAGCCTGGACGACAGAGAGACCCCGTCTCAAAAAACAAACAAACAAAAACAAATCTAGGTCTATCTGACTCAAGATCCTTGCTCTAAAACCAGGATGCTACATGAACATCTCTGTCTTCCAGGGTAATCCCTAGCCCATAGGTTCATTATGTTCAATACTTAGTGTGTTACGAAGGCACAGTATTAACAGTTTCTTTACTAAAGTTACAAGTGTGGGCACTAATCCTTCCTGTAAGAATAAATCCTCCACTTACATTAATAAATCCTTTATTTAAACAAATTATTTCAAGTGTGGTAGAACATTGTGGAAGGCACAGGTGATTTATTTTGTGAACTTACAGTTATACTCTAACTTGTGTGCTAATTGCACTTCAACGTGTACTGTTCAGTAAATATTTGTGGATACTTGATAAAGAGAAAAAACTCCCAAGAATAGACAGAGGGGCTTAAGTGTGGACCAAAATTGAATACATAGAACTCACAAGTCTTGCAGAAGTAATTGCAGTGGAGCCAAATACACTATCGAGACTCAAACCCTGAGCACTTACCCGGGAGAGCACATTGCCAAGGCCTTGAGAGTTTTGAACAAAGTGGTTGGAAATCTGGAAAAGAAAGTCCATTATGTCACTGTTAGGATTTTATCTGGATTGTCTACTCAGGGAAAAATGTAGTGTTCCCTACAATTTTCTGAACTGTGAAGCTGTTACACCATAAAATATTCAGTGTTTAAAGGTGACCTGTCATTTTATAGCCCAATCATAGGGAATCCAAGGTTCAGGGAAGTAAAGTGACTTGCCCAAGGTCACACAGGAAGTTATATTTCTTTTAACTCTGGGAACAATACAGTCTATCGTTAATGACTATAGAGTGTTTACATATGAATTGTATGAATATAATACAAAAATCTTTTATTGATACATATATATGTATAACATTTTCTGTGTACTTATTCTACAGTCATTAACAATAAGTCTTGTGTTATTGTCCTCACTTTTGAGGATTACTGAGATACAGGATGCTTACATAATTTACCTTTGCAGATGCATGATTTTCAAGTCTGCAGCTCCTAGAATTGTCTAATTCTCAGCATAGTACGGTAGTCACTGCTGCATACTTACCATTTTGAACATAAGCGTTACAATTACTTATATAATTAAGATATAGAATGAGAAGATTTAAAAAGAGATGCTCAAAAAAGTTTTTGGTTGACTGGCTAGAGACAGTGCTGTCATTACGAAAAGGAGGTGCATGACAGAATCAATGAATATCTCTATTAATACTGATCATTGTAGATAAACCAGCTGTAATTGCAACGAGGATAACTCTTTAAGTTAGCATAATACAGGGAATAATGATGATGATGATGATTAAAAGCAACAGTTATATAGCACTTATTCTGCGTTGGGCATTGGTCTGAATGTTTGACATGTATTTAAACCTTGTAATGCCCACATAATCTCTGAGTATGGAATTATTATTATCTGCCTTTTCCAGATGAAGAAATCCTGGCATATAGAAGTTAAATAAAGTGCAATTACCTCTAAGGTCACAGGCAATAAATGATGGAAAGGGGACTTGATATTATTTGAGATTAATCTAGAACAGTGGTAAGTGGTGAAGTATCATGAAAAAACAATTTTAGCAGAACTGGAAACCTGGCAACTCCCCAGCTAATACATCTTGAACATCTATAATCTGAATATGTGAAATTCCCAGTGCTTCAAAATCCAACGACTAAATGCTAACATGATACTCAAAGAAAATGTTTATTGTAACATTTTACATTTTGGATTTTCGGATTAGGGCTGCTTAACTGGTAACTGTAAATAATGCAAATATTCCCAAATCTGACAAAATCTGACATCCAGAATATTTCTGGTCCCAAGTATTTTGGATAAGGGATGCTCAACTCGTAACAATGGTCATTCCACAATTCCTTCATTCCTTCACTGTCTTGGCGGGAGTGAGACCCTGAAAAGGCCCAGGAATCGAAATTATGATATACAAATCCTATAACAGGATACTTGTAAAAAGGCTGAATGATGGTGCCCATTGACATCCTCAATTAACTTTCCTCACCTCTTTGGTGGAGAGAGTGACATTGAAAGCCCCAGCTGTGAAATAAGCAAATGATGCAGATTTAAAGAAATACTCGGCGATTCCTATGTAGAGCATGGAGTTGCTGCGTTCTGGGAGCACAAAAGGAACTGGGGAGAAGTAGGGGTCAACAAGGTTTTCCAGCGGGTAGAATACACCCTGTGAGAAAACAGAGACAAAGGCCAGTGTATTAGGTGAAAACTCAAATTCTAAGACTAAGAAGGTTGACCCTCTGAAGTCAGAATAATTCCAGAAGCGTGGGCCGAGCATGGTGGCTCATGCCTATAATCATAGCATTGAGGTGTGTGGATCACTGGAGCCCTGGAGTTTGAATTGATTGAATGATTGTTTTTCCATGATCAACCTGGGCTATATGGCAGGCTCCGTCTCTATAAAAAATACAAAAATTAGCCAGGTGTGGTGGCATGCACCTGTAGTTCCAGCTACTTGGGAGGCTTGAGCCAGGGAGGCTGAAGCTGCCGTGAACTGTGACTGTGCCATTGCACTCCAGCCTGGGTGACAGAGGGGGATCTTGCCAAAAAGAAGAAGAGGAAGAGGAAGAAGAATTATTCTAGAAACTCGGTAAGGATGACAAACTGATAAGGCCTTCTGACTCCTTGACCAGTGACTATATTTCAAAGCTCTGATGATTCTCGAGCATATTTAGGTGTATCTGTTCACTCCGGGGTTATAATCCAATGAGAATCCTTGTTCAAACTTTTCTCAGACAAAGAAGGAGGTACATTTAGCTGGAAGGACACCTCTGACTAGTTCTTGAGGTGCCATGTAGTGGTATCAAACACTTGACCTTCAAAATCTGTGTCTGCTGAGTACCTGAGGAATCATAGAAAGAAGGACCCAAGAATCCAAATGGTTTAAAGCATTTTTGTGGCGTTTTTCAGCACTGCTCTTGTTAGCTATAGGGTGTTATTACAAAATCCTGTCTTGTCCAACATTGAACTGAGTTAAAAGATTCTGAAGAGTGAAATATAAGCCAATATGCACTTTAAAAGACAATGATATTAGCTTTGGGGCAAAATTAAACATAAGCACAATGATTGTTTTTCTATTATCAGTGAACACTGTTTCCATGTGCTTATGGCCCTGATAGAGGTCAGCAGCCCTCAGTTAAATCCACTGACCTAACACTTAGGAATAGAAGTGCCAATGTGTACTATCTACTGATGTGTTAAATTCCAATAAATGCAGACCACTCTACTTGCTGCCTCCTAACCTCAAACCTACTCCTAGAGGCAAAGACATATGATACTTCTGAAAAGGGCAGACATATGTTGTACAATACAATCATTTGCCTATCAAGAACACATTCAAGAGTCTTTCGAAAAGGTGTAAACATGAGGGAGTTGCATGAAAGAAAATGAAATTATTTGAAGAGCATGTATGTGTATTTCCTTCTGTACATAAACATTTTTTTTCTTTTCTTGAGAGAGTCTTGCTCTGTCATCCAGGCTGGAATGCAGTGGTACCATCTTGGCTCACTGCAACCCCTGCCTTCCAGGTTGAAGCAATTCTCCTGCCTCAGCCTTCTGAACAGCGGGGAATACAGGCATGTGCCACCACACCTGGCTAATTTTTGTGTTTTTAATTGAGATGGGGTTTCACCATGTTGGCCAGGCTGGTCTCAAACTCCTGGCCCCAAGTGATCCACCTGCCTGGGCCTCCCAAAGTGCTGAGATTGTAGGTGTGAGCCACTGTGCCTTGTCCATAATCACTGTTTTCTAAATACTGGCTGTTGACAGCCAGGCTGAGGATTCTGAAGATGATAAAGTTACCTTCAAGTTCAGGTCAAGGTAGTTCTCAGTAATTTCTGGAGAACTGATTAGGGAGTAATCCAGCAGAGTATAGTTGTCAATCCTGGTTAAAACTAAATAACCAACAAAGAAAAAAGAAAATCCATATTCATTAAAAGCATAATATAATATATGAATGATGTCTATCTAGAACAATATAATTTTAAATTCTCTGTTTAAAAGATCAATTCCTGCTTTTCATAAGTAATACAAGTTATCTTTTAAAAACCCAGGAAAAGTAGATAAATCAATAGAAGAAAGTGAACATTTCTTTCCAATCATATTACTCTGAGAGAAACATCACTAAAATTTTGGTTTGCAGTGGGTCCCCTTATCTGCAGGGAATATGTTCCAAGACCCACAGTGGAAGCCTGAAACCGTGGACAGTACCAACCCCTATATATACTGCAATAAAAGGAACGTGAATGTGAATGTGGTTTCTCTTTGTGTCAAATTCACAGTTAGATACTGAACATTTTTAAACCACAGTTGACCATGGGTAACTCAAACTGCAGAAATCAAAACTGCAGATAAGGGAGGACTGCTATATACCTTTCTAGGTACACACATATACAAACACACAAAATGCATGTATAGTTGTTGTTTTTCTTTGTTTTTTTTTTTTTTTTTTTTTTTGAGACAGAGTCAGGCTGGAGTACAGTGGTGCAATCTTGGCTCACTGCCACCTCTGCCTCCTGGGTTCAAGAGATTTTCTTGCTTCAGCCTCCCCAGTAGCTGGGATTACAGGCACCCGCCATCATGCGTGGCTAATTTTTGTATTTTTAGTAGAGATGGGGTTTCACCGTGTTGGCCACGCTGGTCTTGAACTCCTGACCTCAAGTGAGACACCCACCTCAGCCTCCCAAAGTGCAGAGATTAGAGGCATGAACCACTGTGCCCAGCCATATATATATATATATATATTTTTTTTTTTAAAAGGAAATTAGTACATATACAAAACTTAAATCAACATTTAGCTGTACATATTGGGTTGGTATAATGAAAGACTTTTCAGTTGCATGTTATAAACTGCAGTTAGAACTTCATTTTTTTTAATAAGGAGTATGCATTACTGTTGTCATTAAAAATATTTCTAATAACAGATTGTGTGAGAGAAAATAAAATTCACTAAATTGGAGAAGTCAAGGAAATTCTTATGCATAGTGCTACTAATTCAAATAACCTTATGTGTTATCATTTTCAGAATAAAGCAGAAGTCAAGGGGACCAGGGTACAGTGCTGGGTGAAGCTCTGGGTGAAGTTCCAGAAAGCACAGATTTTAGTGTCTGAAGCTAGTTGTATGTGCAGTGACGAGAGGCTTTGGAGAGCTGCTTTCCTGATCACCATCACGTGTTCTACAATCTGAAGACCTACTCCTTGTTCTACAGAAAGTTAGCTGAGCATCAAGCCTTCTCTCTTCTTGCATGCCACAGAGGGAGATGAAAAGCAAGAAGAGATGAAGTGTCTTGCTAAGATAAAGGAACAATATTATCCTAAGCCACCACTGTTTTTATTTTTCACCTTTTTTTGTTTTGAGACAGTCTTGCTCTGTCACCCAGGCTGGAGTGCAGTGGTGTGATCTCAGCTCACTGCAACCTCTGCAACTCGGATTCAAGCAATTCTTCTGACTCAGCCACCCGAGTAGCTGAGATGACAGGCATGCGCCACCATGTCCGGCTAATTTTTGTATTTTTAGTAGAGACAGGGTTTCACCCTGTTGGCCAGGCTGGTCTTGAACTCCTGGCCTCAAGTGATTCACTTGCCTCAGCTTCCCAAAGTGCGAGGATCATGGGTATGAGCCACTATGCCTGGCTATTGCCAGTTTTTAAAATGCTTTTAAGTCCTAAATCCGAGGGGGGCAGGACGGTAATCATTTCACGGGTGAGGTGAGTGAGGCTCAGAGGTGAAGGAACTTGCTCAAGTAAAGCTAGAACATGGGAATCCTTGGCTGTTTCTTTCTTCACTACATCTCTTTTTCTTTCCCTACATCTCCAATCCATTCTATTTCTTTCATCCATCTGCATCCATTTATCAGTCTAATATATAGATTTATGAGACAGAGTCTCATTCTGCCACCCAGACTGGAGTGAAGTGGCATGATCTTGGTTCACTGCAGCCTCAACCTCCTGGGTTCAAGTAATCCTCCTACCTCAGCCTCCCCATAGCTGGGACCACAGGCGCACGCTACCATGCCTGGCTGATTAGAAAAAAATTTTTTTTAAATAGAGACAAGGTCTCACTATGTTGCCCAGGCAGGTCTTGAACTCCTGACCTCAAGCAATCCTCCCACCTTGGCCTCCCAAAGTGCTGGGATTACAGGTGTGAGCCACTGCACCTATATTTCTTAACTTAATGGGCTAGGTGTTGTGCCTGATGCTGGGAGCACAGAGGTGAGTCGAAGTTCCTGCACCCAAGGAAATCACAGACTTGGCGAGGAGACAGACGTTATCAATAGGAAGTTATAATAGAGCATAGCAAGGGCTGATCTAAACTGAGCTCCTGATGGTCCTGCTACAAACTTGTTCTTATGTTCTTTCTCATCTCAATAAATGCTAAATCTATTCTTCCAATTTTCCAGTTGCTGAGGGTTTTACCCACCAAAGTCACCCTTTACTCCTCTCACGACCCACATGTGATTTGTTGGACAAATACCACTGTCTTGCCCTCTGAGGTATATCCAGCATCCCAACATGCCTTACCGTCTCCGTCACTCCACCCTAGGCCAGCCAACATCATTACTTGTGTGGGTCACCGCACTCACCTCTTAAGTAGTCTCCTTGCTTTCGACCTTGACCCCCTTCCTTTCTGTCTATTTTAGCACAGAAACCAGACTGATCTCCTTAAACTGTAAGTTAGGTCATGCCGGCCTTACTCTTCAAAGACATCCCATCTTAGACTAAGGGGTGGACTTTGCAGTCCCTACACAGCCCTGAAGATCAAGCCATCCCTTTTCCCCATCTCTGGCCTGCTTCCCCCGACCCCTGCTCCTAGTGTGTCCTCACAGCCTTCCCAGCACACTTGAGATATTCGGCTTCAGGGTCTTTAAAGTGCTTGCAGTTTCCTCAATCTGGAATCTTCATCTAGATTGAACAGCAGCTCACTTTCTACTGCACTTGGGTCCTTCCAGTAATGCCACCTGCTCAGTGGTGGCTTTCCTGGTCACCCTCTCTAGAATGGAAATTCCTCTTCAGCTCCTCCACTGCTTTATTCTTCTTCTTACCACTTATCACTGCCATAACATAGATTTTACTTATTTCACTTGCTTGTTGTCTGTCTCCTCCCACTAGTCCTATGAGGGCAGGTATGTCTGTTGCCTAGGAATATTGCTGCATCTCCAGCACCAAGAACACTGCTCAGTCTATTTCAGGTGCTCAGCATGCCACTGGGTGAATGAATGGATGGAGTGCAAAGAGAGAGAGATGTCCAAAGTATCATGTGAGCATAGAAGAGTCATAACTTATGGAGTGGGGGCTGTCAGGTAAGGTTTTCTAGAAAAGGCTGTGCCTGAACTGGGTCTTAAGTATAAAGAGGAGAGAACACAACATATAAAGAGGAATAGAGAATGGAAAGGATTCAATCCTCCAGGGTTTAGTACAGTCCTGGCTAAACTGCAGGTTTAGAAATGGGCACTCAACACATATCTGTTAAAGCAGTGGTCCCCAACTTTTTTGGCACCAGGGACCAGTTTAATGGAAGATGATTTTTCCTGGACTGGGGTTGAGGGGATGATTACGCGATGAAACTGCTCCACTTCAGATCATCAGGCATGAGATTCTCATAAGGCATACGCAATCTAGATCCCTCGTATGAGCAGTTCACAATAGGGTTTGCACTCCTGTGAGAATCTAATGCTGCCGCTGATCTGAAGGAGGTGGAGCTCAGGCAGTAATGCTCAGTTGCCTGCCCACTGTTCACCTCCTGCTGTGCGGTCCAGTTCCTAACCAGTCTGTGGCCCAGGGACTGGGGACTCCTGTGCTAAAGGAATGAAATGATGGAGGTGAGAGGAAGGTCTTCCAGGCAGAGAAGACAGCAAAAGCAAAGGCAAGGGGCAAGCAGAGCAGTGAAAGCAGTTTGATTGCTGGGGCAGAGAAAGGTAAAGAGAAAAATGAAGTAGAGAGAGGTAAGGAGGAGATGGGGTGTGGTGAGTCTTGTGGTCCATGCTAAGGTGTGTGGACTTGATGCTCAGGGTAGCCACTGTAGGCTGAGGACCCGAGAATAACCTGGTCAAGATTAGTGTTACTCCCTCTGAAGAGAAGGGATGTAGTGCCACAGCTTGGGTTAGTGCTCATGAAGGTTGAATTTCTGGACCTACATCTCATCCCCTGGAGCCACCCCTCTTGCAGCAGTGAAGTTAGTTATTAACCAAAGAGTGCATGCCCTATGCACAAGGCACGCCCTCCCATGAACCTTTCTGGGGCTCTAATTTGCAGAATATGAAGCAGGATGAAGAGCCTGAACTATACTGCCTTGTATAGCAAACCCAGAGAGTGCCAGCTTCTGAAAGTGGGAAGACAACCACCTGGAAAAGACAGTTCTAAGACTCACCCTCCAGTGTGCTGAGGTTGGCATTTAGTGCTTCGACTTCATTTGCAATAATAGGACAGAGCTGGCCACAAAGGAATAAAAAATAAAAGTTACTGTGTTGTACTGGAAACCCTTATTGATGGACAAACAGAGGCCTTCTGGTTAGCCGTCATTATTCCTTCAGTCATCGAGACTTTCCCTTAAATTTGTTGATGTCTATGGGGCTCACATTATGTAGGTATGGGTGGTATGTCACTGAATGCCAGCTCCACTTTGTAGCAACTGGGACTGTTCCCCAGTCAGCCCTGTAGGGAGTGCGTGAGCACTTGGCTTTTCTCCCTGTGACATGATAGGGCATGTGCTCCAGTCCATGCAGTTACAGCCGAGGAACCTGCTGCTGGAGCTGCTGTGTCTTTCCTCACTGCCGGGGGTGCTGCCAGCTTGCCATCTCCTCTAGGAGCAGCTGCATGCCCTGCTTTGAATGCTTAGAGCTGAAGCTTTTGCTTTCTCCCTGGGCTAGGTGGAGAGCACATTATATCAGAGATCTATTTTGAGATCTATTTTGTTGCCACCTTTTTGGAATTTGAAAATTAGTCTTGAGTCAGACTGATATTTTGCCTGGAAGGAAGGGGCATAGGTATCAGCACTGATGTGCCTCTTGTGCGCTCATTGATGCACTTAGCATAGTGCTTCCAGCAGAGGCTTGCGTGCCTGGGGCCTAGGGTTGAATTCGCTGGCAAGTTAGTTGTACTCTTTGATCTCAGTTTCCACATTTGCAACATCTGCATGGGGATAATAATTATATTCATCTCATCAAGTTGTTGTGAGTAGAAATGGAAGTAATTCGTGTAAAATTGCCTAGCTCATAGTAAGCACTCAACAGGCATTATCTGTTGTTGTTTTAGCCCCATTTCATCTTCACTACAGCCTTGTGGGGGAGGGCATGACTGTCCCCTGATTACAGATGGGAAAACCAAAGCTTAGAGAGGTTAAGTGAGTTGCCAGGTGTTACCTAACTAGGATTTGAACTCCCATGGTCTCAGCATTCTTTTCTATCTTGCAGTGGCACAGAGAGAATCATGGAAGCATCTGTTATCTTTAAGCCATATGTCAATTTCAGGCAAACTTAATTATTGGCTTCTGTGACATAACTCATTCTTTGCTGGCCTGCTGTCAGAGACCAAAGGACTGTGCCTTGATTCAAACAGGAGAATGATCAAGTTTGGGTGCTTGAGGATGACAGTGCATTTTACCAGGGAGTCTGTAATGTGCACATTCATTGGCTCTCAGCATGTCAGGTAAGGATAGAAAAGGACCATAAGGCTTCAGCATCCTGCACAGCTGTGCCACCTCCAAGATGAGCTGCTTGATGCTTCTGAGGGTTGATTTCCTTACTGACTTTCATTAAGCACTTAATGTCTGTCAAGCACTGAGCTGAGCACTAGAGAGATGGAGATGGCCAGACACCATCTTTGTCCCTTCTTTTCCAGAAAAGTCTTCCTTCTTTTCTAGTCCTCCTCATCCCTATTCTTATAGGGCAGGATTGGAAAGAGAGTGAATAGCCAATTCCATCTTTCCCTTCTTCAGACACTGACTTCTGAGACTGGAATACTTATAGCTTTGGAAGGCATCTTAATTGATTCTATTTTCTTAACTTAATCCTATTATATTTCCTGAGAATATCTTTTCATATCCTTCATTCCTTACATACACAAATCCTACCTATACCTTAAGATCTAGTTCAAGTTCCGCATCCTCTAAAAATTACCTCCCAGGACACTTCTAGGCCCTATTTCTTTAAAGTTTTCTATTTCTCTGAACCTCTCCTGTTCAATCTAATGATCATGTAACTACGTACTAAGTTCAAGCACTTGGTTAGTTATTGTTTCAGAAGCCCGAATTTGGCTTTTCTGAATATACAAGTTTATCCCTTTATCCTATTCCCAACAGACCCTAGTCCATGGTAGCTGGGCATGCAATAGGTACATAATAAGTAAATTCTTGTTGGTTGTTTGCCCACCCTATGGTAAGAAATCTGAGAGATGTGCTGCTGTTTTCTTTATCTCTGCCTCCCCAGCACCTACCCAATGTTTGACACATGGTAGGGATTGGAGAAACTGTTATTAAGTCGAAAAGGATACTTAATATATGTGAAAGCACCTTGGATAGTTCCTAACACACAGTAGGTGCTTAATAAAGGTTCCTTATTAAGAATTAATTAAAGGATGATAGAACTGCTACTGATGGCATTTTACTGGGGTTGTCTAACCTCTAAAGACTCACCATTTCATTTAGGTTCTTTAAAATGGGTTTCTCCATGGGTTCAGCAAATGAGTTATACAGGACACTGGGGAAAAAATGAACAAAAGAGGTTACTTAGAGACCATACTCAGCCATTTATAAACCTTCCCTAGGTGATGCCTGAATATCCAGCCCCTGGATATTCAGTTGATATTCACGGCCCAACCCGGTGCTCTCACTCACCTGAGTTCTCCGGAAAATGAAACGTGGGCGTGGCTCACTTGGGCATAGCAATCTTGGAGCTTCAGGATAGGATGACCAAAGTCGTTTCGGGTTAGAATAATGATACCAGTAAAGTAGACTCCGGACAGAAACAGATCAGCTCCTCCTGTGTCTTGGCTGTTTAGAGAAAAAGTGCAGGGTTATCTAAGCCTGAGTTAGGCACAGAGATGCATCTTGTTTCTCCGATTACCCAGAGACTTTATGCTCCTGGACTGCAGTGACTTTGTCATGTTCACCTCTGACTTCCTTGCACCTGCAACAGGTAGGAGCAGAGTAGGTGCTGAATGAATATTTGCAGAACAGATGAAGTACTAAAGATGTGAAAGCTAACAGCTGTTGGGATATTCTAGTTATTTCACCCCGAGTGCTCTGGCCCTGGCAATGATTGAGCTTGTATTGAGCACCCTTCATATACAATGATTGGAGAGAGAAAATAAAAAGTAAGATTGGCAACATTTTATTCAGGAGAGGCATAGATGAAAAAGTAATGCTTAGATGTAGTCTGTGAACTTGTTGGGGGACTGGATTGTGTGTTACTTATTTCCATGTCCCCAAGACTTAGCATGTGGCCTGACGCAGAGTAGGTACTGACTATACAGTTGACGGGTCATTGAATAAATGAATGAATACATGAACCTATGTTGCTGTGGGGAACATGCCATTTCTCTACAATCTGTAAGACTGGAGTTCTTGAGATGGGGATCAATGGTACGTAGTAAGCACTCAGTAAATGGCTGTTGACTGACTTTGTGGATGAATGAATGTGTAATCCTGTGGCACCAGCCTAGGCAGACCTAAACATCATACTCAGAATAGTGGTTTACACATTGTAGCTGGCCTGTAAAAGTACCTTGAACCTGATCCCTTTCTTCTGTACAAGGGTTCAAAGGCCTTCCAGTTGGGTTTGAGCTTAAGCTGACTACCATCCTTCAACCTTCAACCTCTGTGTGAGGTAGGAAGTCTCCATTTCTCATTAGTTACCCCTGCAGATGGGGAAGTGTACTGAATGACTGGCTCAAGATCATGCAGTGATTTGTGGGTGGATCTAAAATGCTGAGCATGCATCTGTTTCTCTGATAGTCAGGGACTTCTAGTTCTTAGAGAATCTCAAATGACATTTGATCACTGGCTCTACCTCTGAGGGAAGAATGTTTTTCACCCCGACTCTCCAGCAGGGATTTCCTAATTTAAAACTCACCTGGAAAAAAGTCCTTTTAAGAAAGATTGTTAATAGTGAGGGAAAGGATCCCAATGCCAAAAACATTGGTGAATTTCTACATTTTCCATTTTTGCTCCACATTCTCCCAGAACAGCTGCAGACATGTCAGTGGAATACTCACAAAATTGGAGACTTGAATTCCCAGTCTGTGCTGATGTTGGCAGTGCCATGGTTGGTTAGTGCTTTGATTCCCACTCCTGGCACAAAAGCCAGTGAGGTATTTGGAAATGAAAAGGCATTGATTTTTATACTGTAAAACCAGAAACAGAAGTTAGGGCAACTCTTCCAGCATATCTCTTCATTCAAGCAAACTGGGAACACAGTCATAGAACTCTTACCACTGAGGCCATTGTGCATTCCTACAGAGAAAAGAACCTCCTGTCTGCAGGGCCATCTCTGGGCACTGCCTCCTAATTCTCCTCAAACTCTTAGCAGGAAGTCCCTCGAATCCATTTGATGAGGGAAATAGGTAAGCTTAGATATATATATATATATATATATATGTATAATTTTTCTTCTCTCTTTTTTGTTTTTCAGACAGGGTCTCATTTGTCACTCAGGTTGGAGTGCAGTAGTGCGATCATAGCTCACTGCAGCCTTGAACTCCTGGGCTCAGGTAATCCTCCTGACTCAGCCTTCCAAATAGCTGGGTCTTCAGGCATATGCCATCACACTTGGCTAATATATTTTATTTTTTTGTAGAGGCAGCGTTTCACTATGTTGCCCAGGCTGGTCTTAAAATCCCGACCTCCAGTAAGCCTCTTGTCTCAGCCTCCCAAGTGTTGGGATTACAGGCATGAGCCACCTCACCTGGCCTAGAAACACATTTGTAAATAATCAAACAATCTACTTCTTTAGTTTATTTAAAGACAAAAAGAGGCACAACATTGCCATCATTATTTTTCCTTCAGCAGTTCCAGTGTTTCACAAAAGGGGTGATATTCGTATTTTGCATGGCACAGCTTTTTTCATCGAGGACTGTCCCACACTGCAGGACATTTGGTGCATATGCCAGCAGTGTCCCTCCCCACCTGTCATTGAGACAATCAGAAACGTGCCTTCCTCCTGTTTCCAAATGTCCTCTATGTGGACAGTATCTCCACTAGTGGAGAAACTTAAAGAATTTATTTCCCCTAGGATTCTCTGGACTTTCAAAAGGGTAACCAGGAGGCAGTGAGTTGCATGTAATCTGCAAAGGTGGACGGCCACATGCATCATAATAAATTATTATGAACATCTGTTGAGTGATCGCTACCTGCCAGGCATTGCGGTAAGCGCGTTCCATGCCTTAGCTCATTTTAACTCTCACAACAATCCTAGGAGGCAGTTGCTGTTTCTGCAATCCCCATTTCAGAGATAAGGAGATAACAAAAGTGGCTGAAGTCATATATGAGTGGCATAACCAGACCCGGAACCCTCCCTAGTCTGACTTCAGACTGTGCTCTTCACCACAAGGCTATGCTACTTCACATAGTGTGCAAAGAGTGCTTGGCTTGAAGCCAGGTTTAGTATCAGCTGTAAAAACCTGGGCTAGGCACTTAACCACATTCAATCACTCAAAAGAAGTGCTACTCACAAGTGGTTTGGGGAGACAAAATGATTTCATCTGTATATAATTACTGCACCCAAGAAAGGCATTGTTGTAAATGAAGATTAGGAAAAATTCAAAACATAAATGTAATAGCTGATAAGAAAGAATTATTTGCTAATATTTCCTGTCCTATGCATCCTTTCCTACCTATTCTCTGTCACACACCCTGAATCCCACTGTGGGAAGAGAAAGGCAGAGATTAATTGAATATATCTTAGAAATATTTTCCTTTTGATACATGCAGATCTAACCAATTCTTCATAACTGCTGCAGAGCATTTCAAACAGTGGATGTGCCATTTCAAAAAGATCATTCCTATGTTGGTGGACATCTAGGTTCTTTCTACTACTTCTGTATTATTATACACAGTGTCACAGTGAACATTCTCATACATACTGCTTGTGTATATATGCTTCTCTAAGAGGGATGCTGAGAAGTGGAATCGTTGGGTCAAAGAGCATATATATGTTTTTAATATATATAAAGACATATACATATTATATACTGTATTTTGACTGTCCCTTTTCTATGACTAATTATGTTTAGATGCACAAGTACTTACTACGTGTATTACAATTGTATTACAATTGCCTACAGAATTCAGTGCAGCCACGTTATAGAGGCTTGTAGCCTAGGAGCAATAGGCTATTTCATATAGCCTAGGTGTGTAGTTAGCTATACCATCTAGGTTCATGTAAGTACACCCTATAATGCTTGCACAACTATGAAATCACTTAATAAGGCATTTCTCAGAACATATTCCTGTTGTTAAGTGATGGATGAGAGTAATTTAAAATCTTGTAGTACTCACATTTTAAAAAGGGAAGAGAGGTGCAATTAATTTTCTTAATATTTTTACTTAAGCCAATATATCTAAGACATTGTCATATCAATATGTAACCAATATAAAAATTACTAGTGAGATATTTCATTTTTTTAAAAAAGCAAGTCTTCGAAATCTGGTATGTATTTTATAGTCATGATACACCTGAATTCCAACATTGGGTTTTATAAGAGATACATGACCTGTACATGTTTCAGCATCCCAAATCAAAAAATGTTAAGTGCTGACAGGCTGCTCAAAGGAAATGCCCATTGGGGGTGCTGAACTGGGAAGTAAGTATAATGCAAATATTCCAAAATTCAGAACAATTAAAAATTTGCTATTCATCTTGTCCCAAGCATTTTGGAGAAGGGATATTCAACCTGTATTTAGATTTGATAACATTTCAGTTGAAAAAGCAAACTTACAAAATTGTTCCAAACATACTTAAAAGTTTTTCAGTAGCCAAACTGAGCATCAGATTTTCATAATTAAAATTAGTAAAAATTAAATAAGTAAAAATGTACTTCTTCAGTTGTATTAGTTGCATTTAGTGTTTAAGAGCCACCTGTGGCCAGTGGCTACTGTTTGAACAGCACAGGCCTACAATTATTGTGTTGGTTTATCTACCCCCTCCAGCGCTGCATGAGAATACCTGTTTCTCTCCATCTCCACCTACACATGATATTGTACAATTCTTCCTGTACTTTTCTGCTGTGGTATTCTGACTGTACTTAAGAAATTAGTTTTGTAAACATATATTTAATGTCCATCTCTCCCACTGGACTTCATTTATTTTTTATTTTTTTTTTGAGAGAAGGAAAGAAAAAAAAGGAGTGAAGGAGAGGAAGAAAGGAAGAAAAAGAGGGAGAGAGAATGGAAATGTTGCTTGATTCTAAAAATGGGTATTAATAATGGCCAATCAATATTTCATTTAAACCTATGAGTAGGTGTGATGTGGTATTGACGATAATGTATATTTTGTGTATTTAAAGTGGAGAGCTCTATAAATATCTATTAAGTTTACTTGTTCTGGATCTGAGTTCGAGTCCTGGATATCCTTATTAATTTTCTGTCTTGTTGAGTCTAAGTCTCTTTATAGGTCTTATGTATCTGGGTGTTAGGATCGTTAGCTCTTATTGTTGCATTGATCCCTTTACCACTATATCTTTGTTGCTTTAAAATCTATTTTATCAGATGCGAGAATTGCAACTCCTGCTTTTTATTTATTTATTTATTTTTGCTCTCCATTTGGTTGGTAAATCTTTCTCCACCCCTTTGTTTTGAGTGTTTGTGTATCCTTGCATGTGAAATGGGTCTGGATGTAGCATACTGTTGGGTTTTGGCTATATCTTTTGATTGGGGGATTTAGTCGATTTAAATTTAGGATTACTGCCATTTGATGTTAGCTGGCTGTTTTGTCCATTCGTTGATGTAAATTCTTCTTTATGTTGATGCTCTTTACTTTTTGGTATATTTTTAGAAAGGCCAATACTGGTTGTTCCTTTCTATGTGTAATGCTTCTTTCAGAAGCTCTTGTAAAGCAGGCCTGGTGGTAATAAAATCTCTGAGTACTTGCTTGTTCATAAAAGATTTTATTTTTCCTTCAGTTGTGAAGCTTAGTTTGGCTGGATATGAAATTCGGGGCTCAAGGTTCTGTTCTTTGAGGATGTTGAATATTGGCCCCCACTCTCTTTTGGCTTGTAGGGTTTCTGCTGAGAGATCTGCTGTAAGTCTGATAGGCTTCCCTTTGTGGGTAATCTGACCTTTCTCTCTGGCTGCCCTTAGTATTTTCTCCTTCGTTTCAACCGTGGTGAATCTAACGATTATGTGCCTTGGGGTTGCTCTTCTTGAGGAATATCTTCGTGGTGTTCTCTGTATTACCTGGGGTTGAATATTGTCCTGCTTTGCTAGGTTGGGAAAGTTTTCCTGAATAATATCCTGAAGAATATTTTCCAGCTTGGATTCATTCTCTCCGTCGCATTCAGGTACACCTATCAAACGTAAATAAGGTCTTTTCACATAGTCCCATATTTCTTGGAGACTTTGCTCATTCATTTTTATCCTTTTTTCTCTGTTCTTGTCATCTTGTTTTATTTCATTAAGTTGGACTTCGACCTCTGATATCCTTTCTTCTGCTTGATCAATTCGTGTGTTTAAACCTGTGCATACTTCTCGGAGTTCCCATATTGTATTCTTAAGTTCCATTAATTCACTTATATTCCTCTCTAAATTGTCTATTCTCATTAGGATTTCGTCAAACCTTTTTTCAAAGTTCTTGGTTTCTTTACATTGGGCTACAACATGTTCTTTTAATTCACAGAAGTTTCTTATTATCCACCTTCTGAAGGCTGATTCTGTTAATGGAATGCACTCGTCCTCCGACAAGCCTTGTTCCCTTGTTGATGAGGAACTGTGATCCTCTTTAGAGGGAGAGGCATTCTGATTTTGAGTATTCTCAGCCTTTTTATGCTGGTTTCTTCCCATCATTGTAAATTTATCCACCTGTTGTCTTTGTAATTACCAACTTTCAAATTAGGTCTCTGAGTGGACATCCAAGTTGTTAATTCCCAGGGCCGAAATTTGAGCAACCCACTGCACCGGCCAAAACAGTGGTGTTAAGACTGAGGATGCTCTTCTTCCAGGGAATCTCTGGTCTGGCTTCCTTCTTGAGTCCGTAATAGGCGACTCTGCCTTCCCAGAGCTCCAAACATCGGTCAGAAGGGGAAACAGTCCCGTTTACTCTGCACCAAGAGCTGCTGCGCTGAGGTGCTGGCAAAACCGCTGCACCGGCCACAAGAGTTGCGCTGGCGACCTGTGGGGCTCCTCCACTGGGAATCTTCTCCGTGAGCAACAAAAATTTGTCTGAAAGTGTGGCGTCCTCTCGTTCTCTGTGCTTTCACTGGAAGCTGCAATCCCGAGATGTTAGCGATCAGCCATCTTGGATCATTCCTCCCACTGGACTTTAATGGCAGGTATGTTGTTCACTACAATATCCCCTATTCCTTTATCTTTTTTTTTTTTATACAGGGTCTCTCTGTCCAGGCTGGAGTGCAGTGGTGCAATCATGGCTCACTGCAACCTTGACCTGGGCTTAAGTGATCCTTCCATCTCAGCCTCCCATGTCACTGGAACTACAGGTGTGCACCACCCTGCCTGGCTAATTATTGTATTTTTGGTAGGGGTAGGCTTTTGCCCTGTTGTCCAGGCTGGTCTCAAACTCCTGAGCTCAAGTGATTCTCCCACCTTGGCCTCCCAAAGTGTTGGGATTACAGGCATGACTTGCACCCAGCCTAATATCCCCTATTCCTAGGACATGGCTTGGTATGTAGTAGGTGCTCAATAAATACTTGTTAAATGGCTAACTTTATACAGACCAGGGCCTTATCCAGGAACTTTACCTAAGTCCTCATCTCTCTTCCTCCTTGCCAAAAATCTCTTGGCTTTATAAATGTTATCATTGACATCAGGGGAACAATCACTCCAAAGGGTCAGAATAGCAAGGAAATATCACTGGACTTTTAAAGTTTTGGGGCAGCTTGTGGATCAAAGTCAGACAGAATTCCTTAGAAAAGCTTTTGTTGATGTTAAGTGTATTATTCATTTATTTATTTTTATTTTTATTATTATACAGTAACTTCTACTTGACTCTCCCTTGCTTTTTAAGACTGAGTTCCAGATGACAAAGCTATCCCCTCCTTATACTGCCTTTGGGACTTTTGCTGGAGACTATGAAAGACTGTCAGTTGGTGTCTAGACTTCCAATTCACTTTCTTCCCTAAACATCCCTGATTTTATTGGGAATGACAAAATTGTTTGGTTGGAAAACTAGTTTTCCAGTCTCCCTTGCTAATAAATGTGGCCATATTATTAAGCTCTGTCCATCGTTGGTTAGGCAGGATCTTGTTAGGATAGAACTTCAGAAAAATTCATTAAAAAAGAAGGCTGACTCAACTTTTAAGAGCCCCTTTACCCTTGTCTCTTCCTCCTTTCAGCTGCCTGAAACATGATTTGATGGCTGGAACCACAGTGGCCATATTGAGCCATGAGGGAAACTTGAGAATAGAAACCAGAGCTAAGGATAGCAGAACAGAAAAAGATAAGAAGGATGGATTCCGATGAAATCACGGGGCATCCATAGGATTCCTCCTCTGTTTCATTTGAGCTTCTTATAAGAGACAAAGTGCTCTTCTCTTTTACTTACTTTGAAAAATTATAGTTCACATAATCAACCTTTAGAAATTCAAGAGACTCAGAACCGCTTAAATCTGGGAGGTTCTTTTGCTTTAGCATCTGCTCAATCATCTCCATTCCAGCTTGAACACCTGTGAAGAAACGATAAAGTGTCTGTTGGTAACAACAAAGATAATAATAATGTAATAACATTAACCACACAAATGACACTTATTGAGTAAGACAAGCCCTTAGATACTTAGAAAATGGCAACCCCACAAATATGGGCATTATTGTTCCTGGTTTACAGATGATAACTGGTTCTCAGAGAGGCTAAGGAACTTGTTCAAGACTACAGAGCTGGCATGAGAAATTTTCATTATGTCATGAGGACTGAAGAGTTTCATTACAGGACAGAGTGAGAGGAAAAGTATAACATTTGCTTCAGGCCGGGAGCAGTAGCCCGTGTCTGTAATCCCAGCACTTTGGGAGGTTGAGGCAGGAGAATCGCTTGAGCCCAGGAGTTTGAGACCAGCCTGGGCAACACTGAGACCTTGTCTCTACAAAAAAAATTGAAGATTAGCTGGGTGTAATGATACATGACTATAGTACCAGTGACTCAATATACTGAGTTGGAAGGATTGCTTGGGTCCTGGAGGTCAAGGTTGCAGTGAGCCATGACTGCACCACTGTATTCTAGCCTGAGCAATAGACTGAAACCCTGAGCCTCAGAGGGGTTCACTGTTGCCCAAATCATACAGCTGAGAACTGGGGAAGCCGGTCGTCAAATTCAGACACTTTGGCTCCAGAATCTGTATGCTATGGCCAGTTCTAGGAGGTTATTCCACACTCTTATTTCCTTTCAAATTCTTTAAGTTCAAGAATTTTTGGCCTGAGGTTCATGGGCTGTAGGAAACTCTTGAATCACATGAAATTCTAATAAAAAACTGTGGGTGAGTCATGAGTGCATATGTGTCTCATTTTTCAGGGGAGAGAATCTACATTTTCACCAGATTGTCAAAGGATCCTGAGATTTTTTAAACAGTTAATAACCACTGCTTTTGTCTCACCCTGGAACAACCCCTCAGCTTCTTTATATGGAAGCACCACAGAACAGATTTCTCCGAGCTCACTGGGGGAAAGAGACCTTTCGCATGTTAAAGGACTTGAGAAAAGTTATCTCCATAGTTGCCTTTATCCCTTATTTTGCAGTTTAAGTTCCTTTCCAGTTATTCTATCCCTGTTGGGGATGAAGAAGAGCATGTTTTATCCTCTAAAATGCCAGAAAAAATATTGCAATATGGTGGTGCAAAGACAGATATAAAAGATGTGAAGCTAGAACCAAAGGCACTGTCAGAGAGCTTAGGTTTGAATCCCAACTTTGCCACGGAATAGCTTGTGTGACTCTGCAAGTTACACAGCTTCTCTGTCCCTTACTTTCTTCATCTATGACATGGGGACATTAGCAACATTGGAGGGGTCTGTTCATACATGTGAAAATGACAGTAGCTGATACTTGTGGGGCCATATTTGCTATGGTCAGACACCATTCTAAGCACTTTACGTATGTTAATTCATTTATTTTCCACAACAATCCTATGGGCAGGTACTACGATTTTCACATCTATTTTAATAAGTATCTTGCAGGTACTACTAATAATAGACACATCAGATCTCTTTCTAGAAGATGTGGGAGCATAAATCATTAATAAAATTCAAAAAATACCTAATTTGTATTGAGTGTCTATATATGCGAGGACTCCATATACATTCTCTCCTCTCTCCTTGGGTCCTCACAGCAAACCAGTGGCAAGGTGTTATTAACCCTCTTTCACATAGGAGGCAGCTGAGGCTCAGGGAGGCCAGTAACTTGCCCAAGAGCCCAGAGCTAGTTCCTCCACAGAGGCTGGAGGAACAGGGAGTAGATGATAGAGTGTAGGTTTCAATATCAGGCAGCACAGACCTGAGTTCATATTTGCCTGAGTCCCTTACTGCTGTGAGACTTGGAAAATGTCATATTCCTCCTCTATAAAATGACAACAGCTTCTTGTAGGGTTGTTTGTGGTATTAGATCAACACACAGCCCAGAAAGCACATTTAAAGAGCCTGGCCATGGTAGATGCTAAAAAATGATTCTGAATTCAAATCCTGCCCTTCTCCACTAGCTTATGCCATATTTCCCATGGATGGGAATATAGCCCATGGATGATCCCATTTGAGCCTTACCTCACATTAAGTGTAGGTAGGTAGGCACCATTTTAATCATCCTATTTTCCATATGAGAAAATCCACTGGCCCAAGGCCATATATCAAGGAAAGCTACAGAACTGACATTTACAGCCATGTGGATAGATTTCAGATCTGTTCTTTTAATGACTCTTCTCTAGGGGGTGAAAAAGAAGCTGCACAACTTGAATACTGTTACAAGATATCTATTTCTGATATATATTTCTACGCACATCAGCACATCAGTATAGTAACAAGACACATATGTATATACACATACATATATGTCTGGTATGTATTTCTACATATTGTTCATGTAACATTTGTGCAAGATGGCTCAGTTTTAGATCACCTGCACTAGATGATGTACTAGGGGAGAAACAAGGAGTTGCCTCCAAATCCCTCTTCCCTCCCTCCCTCATTTATTTATTTTTTTTCTGGTATAGTAGAAGAAGCATTTCTTGGTTAGTCTTAGTTAGGTATTACTTGGTTAGACTAGCAGTGCTTAGGTTGACTGCTTTAGTTAGAGAGGATTGAGAAAGATCCATCAACCTACTTAGCTAATCTCAGGCAAAATTTCACAGGAGAAAATAGGTCCATATACTTGGATTTTGCAGTCCGTTCCCTCTCTACAATCTTCTCCCACCTCATCTTAGTCCAAGGAAAATCACATCCCAACATTTGTCTCTCCCTAGTATTTATAAACGTTCTCTAAAGAACTGGCTTTTAACCTTTCGGTGTCTCAGACTCCTTTGCACATCCAACAAATACTGAGCCTCTCCTTAGAAAAATGCACAGTCACCCATATTGCATTTTAAGCTAATTTTAGGGGATTCTAAGTCCCTTTTGAAACCAAATCCTTTCTGAAGCTCCAAGATGTTACTTTTACTTTCAAATCTTTTTTCCTCTCTCCTATAAATGTGTTCTTATTTAGAACCCTCAGATGTTCATAATGTACATACATGGGAAAGAGAGGGAGAGTGAGAATCTGTCCTGTTTGGACATGTCTCCCATCAAGTTGACTATTTTTTGGGCAACACTTTCTTCACAGCCATCTTAGCAGCTTCTGCATAAGGTACTGGACCACCCCACAGTAGAGTTCGTCTCAGTTGTGAGATGGCCCAAGTTATGAGCTGTTGAGTTTAGGTCACAGATCCCACCTAGTGGGCCGGAGGTCTGCTTCTGAAAGTATCCAACTCACCATAGTCAAGTGCCCTCTGAGTAATCCTTGCCTTGATTCCAGGGTAAATGGTGTAAGAAGATGATATGTAGAGATTCCACAGGAGGAAACATCCCCAGAGGACTGGGATTATCTTTGTACACATCTGAAATTAACTGACAGTTATGGTTCCTTTATTAGTCTTGACTTTCTCTTTGGTCAATTAAATCCAATATTTCTAGGTTTTCTCATTTTTATTGTTTACTTCCAGAATTCAATCCATCCATCCATCCATTCATCCATCCATTCATCCATCCATCCATCCATCCATCCATCTACTCAACCACCCATTCATCCATCCATTCATTCAGCAATTCATTTGCTGAACACGCCAGAATGTGTTCTAGGTGCTGAGAGTATAGTGTTGACCTACACATGGCCCCTGACCTACGCTTTTCACAGCCTAGTGGTGAATATGCATCCTTTAGGGCCAGCTCCATGTCCCTCTCTGTGAAAACATCCCTCACCAAGTCATTTTGCCCTGTCCTCATCACACTCTACTCTGGGATCCCACCACACTTTGCAGAATGCATATGTGTCCATTAGAACACCCGACACACCATGTTGTCTGTTTGCAGGCAGGACTCCTCCTCTCCACTGCGACACCCTGATTCAAGCCAGTACCATTTCACATAGATTTTTGTGATAGCATCTTTACTGGTCTCCCTGCTTCAGCCATTGCTCCTTTCTGGCCATTCTCCACACCACAGCCAGAGTGAGCCTCTTAAAATGAAAGTTAGATCATGTTACTCCCTGCCCCCATTAACACTCTTAAGTGGTTCCCCATCTTAGTGTAAACGCCAAAGTCATTTCATTAGCTATAAGGTGTAGAGGGCCTTGTAGCTGATGGAATGACTGTGCCTCTACTTCCCCACTGACCTCCATCCTTAACACACACACCTGCTTCTCAGGGTCCCAGTATCACTGGCTAGCTTGATCTTTCTTGAATGATCTAAGTAGCCTGTACCCCAGGATCTTTGTATTTGCTGTTCCTTCTTCCTGGCGTGGTCTTTCTCAGAGGTCTTGCACTTCTTCAGATACCGCCTCAAGTGCCATCTCAACAAAGTCTTTCCTAGTCACTCTATGCAGAACACGAACGTCTTCCCTGTGGCTCTGTTATTATGATTCCACCCTTGCTTTATTTTCTCCAAAGCACTTATCTTCATGTAGGGTAGTATACAGTTACCAACGTGTGTACTGTCTGTCTCCTCTACTGGCATTTTTAGGCTTCATGGGGAAGGACTTCATCCCTTCAGCACCTTGAATAGCAACTGGCACACAGTAAGCAATAGGGAACTACTGAATGACAGAATGACAGAATGAATGAACGAATGAATAAAGTCTCGTTCACAAGCTGTGAATTGGGCAATGTGTGCCTTATGGGTTCTCCAGAAACCCTTGATCTTAGTATACACTGTCCAGTATTGTGATTGCCTTTTTACTTGTCTATCCCTTTGTCATGGGGGTTGTGTCTTACTTCTATAACTCCAGAGTCCAGTAGCACACAGTAGGCATGCGAAAATTTTTGGTGAAATAAACATTCTATGCAAAAAGAGGGACCACTTCTTATTCACTGTTATGTCACCCATGCTCGGCATACATGAATAATCATTGTATGCTTGTTGAATTAATAGACCAAACAAATTAATGCCATCCCATTTTCTGGATAATGACGCACAGGTCCCAACAGCAGCAGTCATTTGGGTTTCTCTGAATGAAAATCACGTGAGTAATACATTCACAGGCCTTGTTTCTAGCTTGGAAATTAGAATCTGGGTGAGCTATCACTTCTGCATTCACACATGCAAAAGACCCACAGGTGGCAGATACCACGTGATAGCACACAAACATGAAAGAAATCAAGGAAGGCCCAGGAAGGTGACCTTGTGGATGTGGTCAAAGAGGAAGAAGTAGGCCAGGTGTGGTGGCTTATGCCTATAATACCAGCACTTTTGGAGGCTGAGGCAGGAGGACTGCTTGAGCCCAGGAATTTGAGACCAGCCTGTGCAACATGGCAGGACCCCATCTCTACAAAAATTAAACAATTAGCCAAGTGTAGTGGTGCACACCTGTAGACCCCGCAACTTCGGAGGCTGAGGTGGGAGAATTGCTTGAGCCTGGGAGGTGGAGACTGCAGTAAGCTGTGATCATGCCACTGCATTCCAGCTTGGGCAACAGAAAAAGACCCTGTCTCAAAATTTAAAAAAAAAAGAGAGAGAGAGAAAACTGTGAGAGACATGTGTTTAGACAGAGGGAGGGGTCAGACCAGGTGGTCAGGTAAGGATTCAGAGAGGACTAGGCTTCAGGAGCAGCCTGGGTGAAGGAAAAGAGGTCATTGTAAAAGGGGGAGCACTTGGTCGAAGTGGGTGAGAGGTTTCATTAAGGGGGGTGGGTAGGCTTAAAGGTGAGGCCATGGAGGTGGGAATGGGGAAATGTAGATAAAGGGGACTTCTAGAGAATTTGCTTGAAAAGAACAGAGCAGTATGATTAGGGATGGGTGTCCAGGCAAGGCCGCTGCTAGCCTATCTTGGGGTTTTGTATGAAATAGGAAAAGGCGTCCCTCTGGAGAGATGCCAGCCTCTTGGCACAAAGTGGAGCCAGTGGAAAGCATTTTAGGAAAACCCCACACCAGTGTGTGCAGCTGGTTGGGAGGTGGGAGGGCTATCCTGTGTACCCATTTGGCCAGAATTTTGTCTAGTGCACAAACTTCCCAACTTATACAGGGGGCCTGTGCTTAGCTTAGTGAATGCTCACGTGGGTACTTCGCTGGAGGCCAAAGGTTTAGAAATAGGGTCTTAACCTGTCTGTGCATAAGTTCATCTTCAAGTCTGGAAGGCTGGCTGGGTCAACCTGCTGACATCTCTCACCTGATGTCTTAGAAGCCCCCTGAACCAGTCCCTAAACACATGCCACGTTTTATGCCTAATGCTATTGCCTATGTTGTTCTCCTCCATTTAGGCCTGGAGAAGCCCTGCACATCCCTAAGGCCCATTTAAAACACCATCTTCTTTCTAAAGCCATTTATGACTTCCCTGAGCTGATTTCATTTCCTCTTGACCCCTTGATTAAAATACATATTTATTCATGTGTGTATGTTTCTTTTCTTGCTTATTATTTGCCTTCCCTACCAGAATATAAATGCATGAAGGCATAGACTGCATCTGGTTTGGAAGTCCTAGGTCTAGCTCAGTGCCTGGGATAGAGTGAGTGAATGAAAGGTGCTGGTAGAATGAATCAATAAATTAATAAATGAAGGAATATCCCTTACCTTATTCTATCATGTATTACAGTTCTTTGCAGAGATGGTTAACCAAGTATTTATGTACTAGGAAACTGCAGGCATCCATCAAAACAGATGTTGGCCACAGTCCTGGAGCAGGGGCCAGGAAGTTGCCTGCTAGATCATGGGGAGGACAGAGGATGTCTCGAAGGCGTGGCCAGGGTAGTTGGGGGTACTGGGAATAGGAGGGGAACACTCAGAGTAATGGCTTTTTACCATTAGCTATTAAGGCATTTTCATATTTTACCACTGATATGGCCTTATGAATCCAGTTTGATATTTCAGCCCTGAAGAGTTGGTTCTACAGGACAAGCTACAGAAGGAACTTGAGTAGTTGGGAGCAGAACTAAGAAAGGATGACTTGAGGATGATCAGCGTGCAGACAGCACTAAGGAAAGCACAGGGAAATGGGAGGGTTGAGAGCTGAGGGGAAGGGATATGGGTGGGAGAGGAGGATCTCTGGCCCAGCAATGAGTGATCTGAGGGTTGGAGGAAATGTGGTGAGTGGGACAAGGGAGTGTAAAGCCCTCCATGTCCTGGGAGGCAGATTGATAGTCATAGCATCTTAACACTCAGAATGGATGCATGTACCTCCTGCAGTTACTAGGTCCAGCTTGTCTTCTGCTGTGCTGGGCCTTTCTTGATCCTTTAGCTGCCCTTGGGGGTTAGTCAAGGTGTCCTGGAAAGGGGGATAAGTAGAGAGGAACTATTGGAATAAGGAGAACACTTCTGGGGCTCAGGTTAGTGGCTACTGACCAACTGGTATAGAATCATTTCCACATTTTAACATATGGTGATGCTAAACTGAAAAGCAGTCTTTTTAAAACCAAACCATTATATATTTCATATAGAACTCTCCATTTCCAAAGTGAAGAAAAAAACACAATAAACCAAAGAAGAGATATTACTTGTGAATGAAATAACAACCAAAATAATACATTTTTATTTTTTTGTCCTTTACAAAACTCACATTTCTTTGAAGTAGATGTTATTATTATCTTACTTTGGTTTTAGCCACGTGGATATGGAGGCTTAGAGAATATGATGACTAGGCCAAGATCTCACAGTAAGGCACCTGGGAACCCAACCTTGTTCTTCTGGTTCCTAATTCTAGTGCTGATGGATTTACTTTTATTGAATGACTTGATAAATGCTAGGGTTTTAATTTTCTTCTGGGAATTTTAAATAAGAGTTGATTGACACCATTTTCAAGATAGAAAAATTCAATAAGCATCTAGGAATGTTCAAGCATCACAGTGCAAAGCCCTTCTTATTTTCATGGACACAACCGGAGTTTTAAACTCCCTGCCAGCAGCAAAACCTGTTTTCCCTTCTTGGTTAAAAAAAGTTTCTGAAGTGGTACACTTTGATGGAGATCCAGGAATCCAAAATTGCAGACAGGAAAACATAATTTTCCTCTAGAAATTTTATGAGTGAAAGAAATTACTGGGGCACGAAGGGGTGAACTGTACATAACTTTTGGTTGAATCGTTCATTTAGGATGATAACTTATGGGCAGGGGAGGAAAGGAACCTTGTCAGGCAAGGTGATGACTACCAAAAGGTTAAGTAATTTGGCTGACAAGTGCGGGGCCAGTCGCCTGCTAAAAAGGATCCAAGATCACTTAAAAATCCTGCCAGCAAGTTATCTATTTTGTTGCTTCTGGGGAATTGCTTCATTCCAAGATTCAAAATCTCAGTAGTCATTATTTTTCCATACAAATCTACAGACAGAATAATAATCCTAAATTAAATCGTTCTTGTGTGAGTCATCCTGACAACTAGGAATAAGAAAATGCCAGTCCAATTTAGAAAACACTTGACACTCACAGATGGGCTTAATACTACTGCTCCCTGGCAAGAGCTTTGACTGACTCTGGAAAAACTGATTAAGGGAGTAATGAATGGGTAAAATGTAGCCTTCAAAACAGAGGCGCAGGTTGAAAACAAGTTCAACAGGTTTAAAGAAGTCTAGACCAGAAGGGGATTCCAACATAATGGTTAAGACGAAATGACTGTGCATAATAAATCGGCGGGTATGGAAAGTGGGCAGAATATTTCAAGGGATCCAGTCCTCACATCTAGTTTTATAGCAAGATCTCTAATGAGAAGGAGCTTGAGAATTCACACCATGTCTTTCCCTAAAAACTCTATGCCTAACACCAACAAGTTCAACAGTCCAGGCAAGTGGGTGGATAGTTTTGCTCTGGTGGGATCTAGGTCACTGATGTGCTTTAAGACCCGCCTTGAAAGCAAAGAGAACATCACAACTCCTTAGTCCTAACCATGCTGATTTTGAGAGATAAGATAGAATTTTCTGCCACTGTGCTGGGCTCCCCTCTGAAATACAGGCCAAAGTAAGTCCAGATCACGAGCAACCCTCTTAACATTGTTCCATGATGCAAAACTAAATAGGGGGTTTAAACCAACTCTTTTCTGTCTTATAGCCATTTAGTTTTCACTAAAGCTCCTGCCTAAGAAGCCTCAAGATGGGCATGTGTGACATCACACAAACAAACAAACAAAAAAACAAAGAGAAAATTCTAGGCAGATAATAGTAATAACCCAGGATACATGACAGCTGCCTGTTCAAGGTATCCTACCAAATCTGAGACATCTCCGGTTTGGAGATGGCAGCTGGCAGAGACCCGAAGTTTGTTCACGATTCTTACCTCAAGCAGAGAAAGTGTCCAAAGGTGGGGAGCACGTTCAGTTCCCTCTGCCTTTGAAGCTGATGTGTTCTCCACCTTGCGCCTTAAACTCAGCTGCTGAAAAGCCAAGATAATTAAGTCTGACTCATCTCAGTGGTGGATTTTTTTAAATGCCTCTTTCAAAATGTGATACATAATTGCTTCACTACAATTACCCAATGGCATGAATGAACACTACAGTTTCTACCCAGATGAACAGACAATGCCACCTATGCAATAATTACTGTCCTGCAAAACACACACACACACACACACACACACACACACACACACACGCCACACCTTGTGAAATTGTGACGGCGACTTTACCAAAATGATTGAAAATGGTGTTAAACTGAATTGGAAGAGGAAGAATTTTCTTTTCTGGAATAACAAGCTGGTTCCTCATGGTCAGGGTGCCTGCTCTACTGCCCAGAATACCTTTGGGACTGGTGGTGGATCATCAGATTCAGTCTGAAAGCATGATAGACTGGACAGGGAAAATGTGGCACAAATACACCATGGAATACTATGTAGCCATAAAAAACGATGAGTTCGTGTCCTTTGTAGGGACATGGATGAATCTGGAAACCTCATTCTCAGCAAACTGACACAAGAACAGAAAATTAAATACCACATGTTCTCACTCATAGGTGGCAGTTGAACAATGAGAACACATGGACACAGGGAGGGGAGCATCACACACTAAGGTCTGTGGAGGGCGGCTAAGGGAGGGATAGCGGTGGGTAGGGAGGTTGGGGAGGGATAACATGGGGAGAAATGCCAGATAAAGGTGACGGGGGGATGGAGGCAGCAAACCACATAGCCACGTAGGTACCTCTGCAACAATCCTGCATGATCTGCACATGTACCCCAGAACCTAAAGTACAATAAAAAAATAAAAATAAGTTTATATACATTTTATGAAGTGGGTTGGTTTACGGGGAAAAAAGTAAATAACAGTACAGCTCACATGGGACATAGATTTTTTCTTTTTTGTTTGAGATGGAGTCTCTGTTGCCCAGGCTGGAGTGCAGGGGTATGATCTCGGCTCACTGCAACCTCCCCTCCTGTGTTCAAGCCATTTTCCTGCCTCAGCCTCCTGAGTAGCTGGGATTACAGGTGTCACCACTATGTCCAACTAATTTTTGTATTTTTGGTAGGGATGAGGTTTTGCCATGTTGGCTAGGCTGGTCTCGGACTCCTGACCTCAGGTGATTGACCCAACTCGACCTCTCAAAGTGCTCGGATTACAGGTGTGAGCCACCGTGCCCGGCCTTAGGACATATAATAATTTTTGAAAAAAGGGCTCAAACAATTGGTGTCTAGGAAACAAAGATCTAAGAAGAGAGTGTAGCTAGTCTGTTGTCTTTTATTTGGAAGAGGCCTTAGAAATCGGCTAATTAGCTTTCCTAATTAGCTGTTTAGGGCACATTTGCCAAATTCATCTTTAAAAACATCAACAGCAGCACTCTATCCAGTTTCATTGTTTGTTTTAGCTTTCCATATTTAACTGAAGATTTGCTGGGAACGCCTGCTTCTTCAGCCTACTCACGATGGCAATCTAAAATGCAAGATTAATTACTATACTGTTGAACAGCTGACAGTGTGTTTGTCTTTGCAGATCAGAGAACACTCTTAATTAAGACTCCAAAAGAAAAATCATAAATAACTAGGTAGAAATGCTTGTTCATTAAAGGGAGACATCAGAAGATAGTGTTAGGAAACTGAGCATCCCCGTTCTTGGTTTCTAGAATGTCTGGGCTATAACCATATAGAATGAGCTAACTGAAGATGAAACATTTTTGAGATTGGAAGACAAATTATATTATTCTTGGTAGGAGACAAAAGTAGGAAGGAAGAGGGATTTATGTGCATATGGAGAGAGGAGCCACATAGGGCAGTCTTGGGGCAAAAGACATTGTGAGTTCTAATCCCTCATTGCCCCCCAATATTTGTGTTGATGAAATCTGGTTAGAAGGAAACCCTGAAGAGGGATATATAGGGTAAAGAAAAGTAAGAGCTAACATTTATTGAGTGTTCTGGGCACCATCCGTAAATGAATTGACTAAATACTCATCAAGACTGTATGAGGACCTGATATTATTTCCATTTGCTAGATGGGACAACTTGCCTAAGCTTAGACATTACAGCTAGGATTCAGGACCCAGGTGTTCCATTTTCAATGGTCTGCCTTTTAAACCACTATACTATGCTGCCTTTTTAGGAAGGTCACTAAAGGGCAATCCACAACCCAGGGTACGCAGAAGGTGGGAAGTGAGAAGGATGCTGCTGCTGGGCAACCCATCTGGTTCTCTGAGCTGCTAATTGAATCTCTGTAGCTCAGATGTATGTGTTTGTTTGAAATAGCTAGTTTTATTTCTAACCAGAGGAAGCTGCCTGGAATTCATGTGGCTCTGGAGGTGATGAGTCATCTTACAGTTCACCCTGGGAGGGAAGTCTGGCAGAATCATCCTGTCACCCAGCAGCAGCTCCTTCTCTTGTCCCTGCCCTGTCCCAGGCCACACTCCATTGATACCTGTGTAATGATGTTTCTGGGTGGATGTCAATGACTGAGCCAGGCAGTGACTCCTCCCACCATTCACACTCTGGAATGGTTTACAGCAGTGACGCGCTTTTGGTTTTGACAAATGAACCTACTCACATCAGTTCCTTCCATCGTTACTAGTTATCTAAAAGGGAGTCACTTTATATTATTGCAGTTCAAAATGAGTTTAAATTCATGCTAAAATTTAAATGCATATATGTATGACTTTTTGAGACATGAAGAATATTATGGAACCAAACAAACAAGATAGCATGATATTACTCTGAAACATCTGGGAATCAATGGTGTGAGCCTAATTGAAGTAAACCAAGATTTCCCTACTTTGGCCCTGTTGGCATTTGGAGCTACATAATTCTTGGTTGTAGGGGGCTGTCCTGTCTATTATAAAATGTTTAGCAGGCCAGGCCTGGTGGCTAATGACTGTAATCCCAGCACTTTGGGAGGCCAAGGCAGGCGGATCACTTGAGGTCAGGAGTTCAAGACCAGCCTGGCCAACGAGGTGAAACCTTGTCTCTACTATAAATACAAAAACCAGCCAGGTGTAGTGGCACACGCCTGTAGTCCCAACTACTTGGGAGGCTGAGGCAGGAGAATGGCTTGAACCCTGGAGGCAGAGGTTGCAGTGAGCCGAGATTGTGCCACTGCACTCCAATCTGGGCAACAGAGCAAGACTTTATCTCAAAAACAAATAAATAAATACAAGAATGTTTAGCAGCATCCCTACCACTATTAGCACCACAACCTCTTACCCTAGTTGTGACAAAATGTTTCTAGACTATGTCAAACGTCTCCTGTTAGGCAAAGTCACCGCAGTTGAGAGCCACTGAAATGAAGTATATGCAAGTATTCTATCTAACCCTTGCAGCAGAAAACAGCATTTCTCTCTGTGATCAGATGCTAATATTCCTAATAACATTTTTCTTAACTATCCAATAAATATGTGAACACATTCTTGTGATAAAAGAGTTAAATAATTACTGAAGTTTACAGATCAAATTGGGAAAATTCTTATCGCACCCCCCCCAACTTTGTCCCCGTCTCCCTCTCACTCTTTTTATCTCTAATTTTTAGTTTTTGAGATAGGGTCTTACTCTGTCACCCAAGCTGGAGTGCAGTGCTGTGATCATGGCTCACTGCAGCCTCAACCTCCCAGGCTTCAGCATTCTCCCAGGCTCCAGCATTCTCCCACCTAAGCCTCACTAGTTAACTGGGACTGTAAGCGCACACCAACATGCTTGGCTGATTTAAAAAAATTTTTTCCTGAAAAGACAGAGCTGGTCTCTAATCCAGTGGTTCTCAAGGTGGCTTTTACTCCCAGGGAATATTTGGCATCTTTGGATGTTACAACTAAGGAGGGTTCTACTAGCATTTTGCGGATAGAGACCATGGATGTTGCTAAACATTCTATGCACAGAACAGCCTCTCACAACAAAGACTTACGTGGTCCAAAATGTCAATAGTGCTGAGGCTGAGAAACCTCCATCTAACCCCCACATCCTATTACATTCTCTAGTGATAGATTCACGTTACAGATCTTAGCCTGCCCTTAGTAGTGTACACCTGTCAGATTCATGGCTTCCTACCATCTTCTGAATAGCCTTCCCTTTTGGGAGGGCGGGGAATTCCCATATTCTGTATCCTGCCTCCCCAAGGAAGGAGTTCAGACCCCAATTCCCAGTCTCCTTTGTAGCCAGGACTCAGGTGTCTCAGGTGCCAGACTTCCTCAATCATATCCCCCTATGAGCTTTTTATGTGGAAGTGAGCAAGGTGAAGAAACAGACTCTTCTGGAAGTTTGGCATTTTGTAGGAGGCTGCAACAGCATGTGGCATTTGATGTTAGCAATGGCAGTGGCAGCCATTCCCCAGTGATTCTCAGCAGTGGTGATGGCAGTTTCCTCCAGCAGCAATCCCAGTCATAGTAGTTTCCTCATCAGGCCAGTATTCAGCTTGGTTCTGAGCTTCATTCTTGGAAGCTTAGCCTGGGGCCATTTCTCCATCCTCCCTAGAATTCCGAGCTATACAGCATCGTTTTGTTTTTTTTTTTTGAGACAGAAACCTCCACCTCCCAGGTTCAAGCAATTCTCCTGCCTCAGCCTCCCGAGTAGTTGGGACTACAGGTGCGCCACCATGCCCAGCTAATTTTTGTATTTCAGTAGAGACGGGGTTTCACCATGTTGGTCAGGATGGTCTCCATCTCTCGACCTCGTGATCCACTTACCTCGGCCTCCCAAAGTGCTGGGATTACAGACGTGAGCCACTGTGCCTGGCCACAGCATCCTTTTAATGCACACCTTTTCTGCTTAGTCAGCCAGAGCCAGCTTCTATTGCTGAAAATTAAGAACCTGAGCGTAAAGACTCCCCTTCTAAAGACTGTCTAGTGGCTTTCCATACATTCTAGAATATGTCCCAAACCCTCTACTTAGCCCAAGGTTCTTTATCTGGGATGTACCTATACTATCCATCACTCTGGTCATACAGTCTTCCTGGTCCTGCCACCATTCCTCATTGCTCACTACTAAAGAATCCTTGGCGGGGCCCGGTGGCTCATGCCTGTAATCCCAGCATTTTGGGAGGCCGAGGCGGGTCGATCACGAGGTCAGGAGTTCAAGACCAGCCTGGCCAAGATGGTGAAACCCCCGTCTCTACTAAAAATATACAAATTAGCTGGGCGTGGTGGCACGCGCCTGTAATCACAGCTACTCTGGAGACTGAGGCAAAGAACTGCTTGAACCCGGGAGGCAGAGGTTGCAGTGAGCCGAGATCGCACTGCTGCACTCCTGCCTGGACGACAGAGTGAGACTGTCTAGGGAGGAAAAAAAATCCTAAGGCACAGCAACCCTCCTCTCTGTACCCCAATCCTCAGGTCTGTATTTATGTCTATCATAAAGGAGAGACTTTTTACACTCTACTGCAAGAGCTGATTCACTCAGCTATACACTTTGCGTGGGCAGAAACACGTCTTTTTGTGAGTCTCCAGCATGTGGAGCATCTGTTACAAAGTAGACAGTACATATTTATTTGCAGAATGAAGGGCGCGATGTGGACAAGTGCTGCCACCTACTGGTAGAAACGTTTTGTGACTCTTACAAGGATTTGGACTATGGTTATCATACAAGGATGAAACTTGATTATTCTTTCTCATCTAAGTTATCATTAGTTAGACCCTCTATGGTAGTCAGCCTCCAGAATGGCCAGCAGCAATCCCAGTCTATTGGCATTCATACCTTTGGTGGATTCACAGAAGGTTGGTTTGTAAATATGACAATAGCCATATGTGACCTCTGGAGCTAGGTAATAAAAAACATTGTGGCTTATGCTTTGGTCTCTCTGGAATCACTTGCTCTGAGGGAAGCCAGCTGCCGTGTCATAGGGACACTCAAACAGCCCTATGGGGAGGTTCATGTGGTGAAAAACAGGTCTCCAGCCAACAGTCCTGTGTCATCCTGGACGCCGATCCTCTGGCCCTAGCCAATAACTGCTGCCCTGGCCTACACCCTGACTGTAACCTCATGGGAGGCCTGGAGACAGAACCACCCAGCTACGTATCCGCAAATCCCTGACCTCTAAAACCTGTGGGACAACAAATGTTTATGGAATTAAACTTTGGGGTGATTGTTATGCAGCAACAGATTTCTAATAAACTGTCCAACATAGAGCACCGCCTACAAACAGCTCTACTTTTTTTAAAGGCAGGGTCTCGTTCTGTGGAACCAGGCTGAGGTGCAGTGGTGCCATCACTGAGGCCTCAACCTCTGGACTCAATCGACCCTCCCGCCTCAGCCACCCAAGTAACTGGGATTACAGGCACGCACCACTACGCCTAAGTTTTTGTAGAGACGGGGTCTCGCCATGTTGCCCAGGCTGGTCTCGAACTCCTGGGCTCAAGTGATCCACCCGCCTCGGCCTCCCAAAATGTCGGGGTTACAGGCGTGAGCCACTGAGCCCGGCCAACCTAAGGACTTTTAACCTAAGTCTTCTCAGAGCAGATGCCGCTGGAGCTGGGGGCCGCGGAAGAAATGGCGTGACACTAGGTCCCGGGGAGTTACGACTGTATTATTGTCTGCAGCATCCCTAACAGCACCACGGTTGCTCCACGTTAGCAAGTTCAGGAAGTCTCATTCACCGCGGCGGAAGAGCTGGGAAGCCAACGTAAAGCTGCATCTCGGCGCCTGCGCACTGTGCCCATGCTATCAGGTAGAGCCGTTGCGCGCCGAGTCATCGATCGGTCAATTTCCCACCCCCCCGCAAGTCCCGCGGCCAGGCTCCTGTAAGCCGCCTGCCTGCCGCCCGCTCTCGGGGTCGGCTCCAGGGGGCGCCCTCAGGAGAGGGGCGGGTGCTCACATTCCAGAGACCGGCCAGCAGGGCGGCCACCGTAGTGGGGCTCTTTCCCCTTTCCGCCTCAGCAATCCCTCAGCTCCGTAGTCGCCACTCCGGGGTCGCAGCCGTTTGAAGCAGGAGCGGCTCGGCCCCCCCGCTGTCCCCGTCGCCGCCTCTGGGTCCAGGATCCTCGCGGATCCCGCCGCCGTCATGAAGCTGCGGGTACGGCTTGAGAAACGGACCCAGCAGGTGGAGGTGCCAGAGGCGGAGCCGACGCTGGGGCAGCTGCGCACGCACCTGAGCCTGGCCCTGCTTCCCACCTGGGGCTACAGGTAGGCGGGTGCCGGGGGCGGAGCGGCCCGTGGGGAGTGGGGAGTGCTCGAGGTGGGTGCTGGGCGGTTTGGAGTCATCTGTGGGCTGCCGGCGCGGGCGTGGCCGGGCGCTAGGCTAGATGCGTGGACGCCCCGGGGCCATCACGTGAGGCCCGGGCTCTCCCGAGCGTCGCGGAGCCCTAGGCTGCCGGCGACTGGACGCGCAGGTGGTCGTCGGTGGTCCGGCTCCTGGAGAACATGGCCCAGCCTCTTGGGGGCTCTGGTCCTCTGCTTGGTGAGTCATGGCTTCTGGTTTTGCAGTACACGAAACCAGGGAGAAGAGTGAACTCACAGTTCCCACAACTGGTTAAATTTCAAGTTGGAAATGATGAGCTTGGCTTAGGTTAAACCTTTCTGGACTGTCGGGGGTCCGAGTTAATTTCTTCAGCTGTTGGAGTATTTCAATGAAAAAGTTTGGAAATTGCTACAAGTTAAAAATCTGCCCTCCATCGGAGGCAGCTTTTATCGCTGCTGTGAAGCTGCAGCAATTTTAGGACTCTGTTAGAGTGGTTCGTGCACCAGGCACCGCGGTGAGTGCTTGGACTTAGCTGCTGCTGAAAAGTTTTAGAAAGTACAGCGTGTAGTCGTCTTTCAGACCATTCGATTTTCCTGGGCGAAATGTTGCTTTTTGTTAAAACTGAGGAAAACGTTGCTCTTGAGAGCTTGCAGTTTGGGGGCATAAAGTTGAGAAAGGATCATATTCGGTTATTCGTTTATGGGACTCCAGATAAGGTGCTTTGTTTCCCCAAAAGATATTTTTTTGGGGGAGACAATAATCTGGGAGTAAAGTGACAGTGTAAGAGTGGTCTTCTTCAAATACTGAGCTAGTGAAGTTGAAACTTGAGTGTGCTGAGGAAAAATAACAATGTTCCCCGTTTTCACCTTATTTTTAGGGATTGCATAATATGAGGCCGTTATTCCAAACTTCTCACCCTTTCATTTTTCAGGTTAAGACATTATTAGGTTGAAAGTAAGCCTGTTTTCTTCCAGATTAAAAAACAAACAAAAACCTTAAATAAGATGCTGACATAACTCCTTTTAAACATTATAGTAAGTGACATGCCTACTGTTATTTCTTGTTAAACCTGTGTGTTTTCCATATTGGCATCATTACCAGTAGGTTACCAGTAGAAGATTGAATAAATCTTCAAAATTAACTTATCTTTTAAAGGTGTATATATATTTTATTGTTTTTAAATTAGGCAGTCCTGAAAAGATGTGAAACTCAATATGGCTGTTTGCCCAAAGGGGCAAGTTGGTTTCTCTTTCAGATTTGTTTTTACAGTTGAGGCTGCTTACCTGGAAAGAATTTAAGCATCAACTTGTGAAAGTAAACTCTTTTTTTCTGAAAGTATACTCATCTTCTACTAAGTGAGCAGTTTTAAAATATGTCCATATGATATTATTTTAAAAATACTGAGCAAGTGGATCTAGGATTGTCATAAAATACTTTTGTTTCATTTTTGTTTTTTAAGAGAAAAGTGAAAGCAAGTTTATTTAGAAAGTAAAGGAAGAAAAGAATGGCCACTCCATAGGCAGAGCAGCCATGAAATACTTTTAAAAAGCCTGGAGTTTCTAGAATTTCATTTCCTGGAATTAAATACTCCTCTTAACTCCCCAATTTCAGAGATAGAACCCTGGAAAACTACATATTTCTTTAGAAATAGCTTTTCCCGTTTTCTAAAGTGGGAGGAAAAGCTGGTATATTTATTAAGCAGACCATGACCTTTTCTACAGATATTTGAATGTACATTGTACTAGATGCTGTTTAAAAAAGCAACCTTTTGCTGTGACAAATGACCCATAAACATGTAGTTCATTTGAGGTGTTTTTCCTTTTTCTGCCAAAGTTGGGATGGTGTTTTTGTGGGCTAGTGGCAGAGTTTCAACTTTTTGCTTATCAAAGCATTTTGAAAACAGAAACAGGGCTGCTTGTTTTCTGACAAACAGGAATGGCTTCTATTTCACTAATTTTAATTTCTCTCCCAAAGACACCTCAATTATTAAGAAAAAAATATATTTATGAGTGAAATAAAAACATGAATTATTTGGAGCACTTTTCAAAATACAGCTTTATGAGAATAAGTAAACAACATAATTTTTAAAGGACTTCATCTTTTGTTAACCTCTCAAAAAATTAATGAAATTAGCATTGCCAAGTGTACATATCTTTTAAAATGTTTTATAACGTTTTGTTAGTTATCCCTCACTATGTGATGAAGAACATTGTATTTCTCTAATGTCAAATATTCTGTGGTGCAGAAAGAATGGGATTTTGTTGCTTCAGGCTTATAAGAATTCTGAGCTTGTTTAGCAGTGGGCTTTTGGGTTTGTACTATGTCCCACTAAAAGGCATCATAACTGATCATCAGTACAAGGATGAATTTAGCTTGTCATCAGTAAGAGGGACGGATTTATACTCAGTCATATCCATATACTGCTCTAACTCTTTGTGATTATGAATATATGGATCTGGCATTTTGTAACCCATGTAAGTAAACTGTCCTGTAAGGATATTGAATAGACATCCCTGATTTCACTCTCATTTTGATCTTCCCAACTAATATTTGGTGGTTGCATTTATTTCACAAATTCTTTATTTGCCAGTGTTGAAGACATTGTTTGAACTGTTCAGACAAGATCCCTGATCTTATGAAACTTAAGTTCTAGTGGTAGGGGTAGGGTAGACAGATAATAGACAACTAAATATGATGTTTTCAAGTAGTGGTGTTATAGTAAAAACAAAACATAACAAAATAGAGAGTGCTGGAGTCTGAATGAAAGGCGTCTCTGAAGAGGTGACATTTAAGCTGAGACTGGAATGATGATGAGAAATCAGTCATGTGAAGATCTGGAAAAGCAAATGCAGAGGCCGGAAGGCTGCAGTGAAGTTGATCTGCTTTTTGGAAGGGATGGAAAGCTCATGTGAATAGAGAACAGTGAGCGAAGATGGATGGCACAAGAGCAGTAGGAGAAATGGGAAGAGGTCAAACGCTGGGCTTTGGAAGTTATGTTAAGGATTCCAAATAGAAGCCACTGGAAGATTTTAAGTAAAGGAATAATGGGATCTAATTTGTATTTTAAAGGCATTTCATTGCATCTTAGTGGCTATCACTTGTAAGACACACATTGTTTTATGTAGCAGTAGGGAAAAAATGCTGTCAATTGATATGTCATTGATTTTAGGAAGTATCCTAATTTCAAAGATGTCATAATAAAAAATGTGCATCTTAGAATTGAGGAAAACATGGATTAATGATAGCGAATTACTGTATCCTATCCCCCAGGTGGAGAGTTTTAGCTGTTAGAAATCTGTAAAGTAGCCCTTCATTGATAAATAGTTTTGATAATTTTCTCAAAACTTTAAGCTTGATATGGTGTTTCGTCCTATAGTCCTAGCTCCCCTGGAGACTCAGGTGAGAGGACTGCTTGAGCCCAGGAATTTGAGCTGCCATGAGCTGTGATCATGTTACTGCACTTCAGCCTGGGCAACAGTGTGAGTCCCTGTCGCTAAAAAACAAACAAACAAAAACTAAAATGTAGCTGGACATGGTGGTTTATGCTTGTAATCCCAGCAACTCAGGAGGCTGAGGCAGGAGACTGCTTGAGGCCAGGAGCTGGATACCACCTGGACAACATAGTGAGACCTAGTCTCTTCATTACTTAGTTCTTCTAGGGTCATATTTTGCACGTATATATGTTTCAGATGTGTCATTGAAGGTAATAGAAGTAGGTAGCTCTTACTATGCTTATCCATCTTTCTTGGCAGTTCTGATACCCGATTTGCAATTACATTGAACAACAAGGATGCCCTCACTGGAGATGAAGAGACCTTGGCTTCATATGGGATTGTTTCTGGGGACTTGATATGTTTGGTTCTTGAAGATGCCATTCCAGCACCTAATTTACCTTCATCCACAGATTCAGAGCATTCTTCACTCCAGAATAATGACCAACCCTCTTTGGCCACTAGCTCCAATCAGACCAGCATACAGGGTGAACAACTGAGTGATTCATTCCAAGGACAGGCAGCCCAGTCTGATGTCTGGAATGACGACAATATGGTGGGTATTAAAGACTAAAATATCAAATAGAGTAGGTGATAAGTCATAGTGAACACCTCAGTTGAATTCTGTGCCAGTCAGGATAGTTATCTTCAATAGATTGCAGACTACATTTTTATATAACTTTTTTTAATGGCAAAATACCTGTCCAATTTGGGCTGGCGTCCCAAAG